TGCTGCGTGCTGCCAGGCGGTGCGTGCTGCGCGTTGTCAGGTGGTGCATGCTACGTGTTGCCAGGCGGTGCATGCTGCGCGCTGTCGGGCGGTGCGTGCTACGTGCTGCCAGGCGGTGCGTGTTGCTGTGCGGCGCTGCCGGGCGGTGCCTACTGTTGTGCGGCCTGTTGTGCGTGCTGCTGCCTATGACTGCGCCGCAGTGCGCTACTGGTTGGTGTGACCATAACAGGCTGTGTTTGGATCAAAGGAAAACGTTTATTATTCAGGAAGAGATACAAGAAATATTGGATTTTAGGGGGGAAATTAACTCTATAGTTCATCAAAAAAGTTTGAATTTAGATCCTCCATCTTACTACAAACTCATAGATTTTAGGAGGATCTTACCGTATATACTCCCTTTAGATCTGGTCTCCCGACAAGTTCATCCTTTCCCTTGGACTGATGGGTAGAAACATGTTTTATTTTTTTCTAAATACTTTGGCTCAGTTTGGAAGGAATATAAATACAAATTTATAGAGTACAAAACCTTGAATTTTGTATTATTTTATATGTATTTACACTGTACATATTTATATTTGTACTCTTTTCAAAGTGAGTCTTTACGGAATTAATTGAATCATTTTTTTCTTCCATCCACCTTCGGTTAGTTCCATCTGTAAATTTCTTAACCAATTTGTCAAAATCCCCTATCATTTCACTATGCAACTTACTCTCCGAGTTCACATCTGTTCATCATTGAGAGATGTTCCCAGGACGGGGATGTGCTGTAGGGCGTTGTGGGGTACCCAGTAGTGGGGCGTAGATATGAACTCTTACTCTCCACCCATTTATCATTTCAAAAGATTATATCCACTCCATTTCTAATTCTACAAATCATCTCTTTTCCTAGGAGACCTCTCTCCTCTATAATTGCTCTCCAATCCCATGAGCAGTTCCAACTTCCCAGAAGTTTTATTTTGCATATATTTGTGTGTTATGACTTGGACCTGTACCAATTATTTGGTTGTGTTTGCATTCATCCATTGATGGTTTTTTAGCCCCTAACATCCACACTTTTTTTTTTGTTTACATGCTCTTTTCTATCCAATCAAGTTGGATTTTTTTTTTTCATTTTTACCTCATATCTAAGGCTTAAGCATAAAGCCTTATATTTTGTATAGATTTGCACTATATATATTTGTATTTATATTCCTTCCAAACTGGGCCATAAGAACAATAATGTCTATAGTTTTTTGGGAGTTTAAAGGCCCGCATTAAGAATTGCAGGATCATGGTTACAGACGATTTTAGGAGGGTACTCTCCCTGCTATTGAAAGAGTGTTTTTTATTTTCCACTCATTGAGCTTTTTTTGAAACCATTTCTTCCAATTTTTTAAAGGTTTGCCTTGTAACCCTTGAATCAATTAGTGAGGCACCGAGATAATTTTGTTTTCTTTCTCCAATTAAAGTTTTCAGGGTCCTCGGGATTAAATGTGAATTATTCCATTAAGTCCTTTATTTTTTTACATTTTCTATGCTTGTGTTGCAAAAATATTAGTCAATCATCTGCAAAAAATTAATATGCCTTTTATTAAACTCTATTTAGTTGTTACAAGGTAGATGAGTACAAAATCTAATCAAGATTGTATACCTAACTCCATTCCTTTGCAACTACATCACCATGAACTCGTCCTCAAAGCGTTCTTTCTTAGTCCGTCTATGCTGCTGGACAACCAAAACTGAGCTGGTGGCACCAAAATCCGAAGAGGCCAGAAGGTCTCCAACGGCCCCTATCTCAGGGCACTCTTCCCAATCATTCATCCCCACTGTTAGAGGGGAAAGTCCTCTCCCACCTTTCCCAACTATAAACATAGAGTACTTGTCCTTCATCTCGCGGAGTACCGCCACTGTATCTGCTCCGTTCGCCACTGTCATCTCTGTGTAATTCACCTTCCCCGTTGCCACATACCTATATTTTGCAGTTATTAACAACCATGCATCAGATCAATAGGCAAAATAATCTTAATTGATGATGATGACGAGGTTGAGTTAGGCAATGTTTGGTTTGAGATTCTTTGTATAAGACCACACCAATAAGTCCCATTTGGTTCGCAGGAATAGGGGTTCAAAATCAGAATCGGAAGAGGCTATTCCAATTCTAACTGTTTGGTTGGGCGGAGTCAGAATCCCATTTCTACTGGAATTACATTTGCCCATTTGAGTTGGGAATGGAATTTTATTTCTGGTGATTATAATTCTCATTCTCATTCCTCTCTAAACCAAAACCAATCTGATTCCGATTCCAACAGCAAACCAAACAGACTAAGACTGTGGTCAGATGAGCATGAAATGAAGCGAAAATTAAACCTGTTATAGAAAGAAGCCAAAAACTCTTGGTCTGCATCGTTCTCACTCTGATGACTTTGGATGGTCATCAAAACTTCCTCATCTTTGGTTATTGCCATCTCCATACCATTAATGTACTCATTGGTGGATGTGGACAAGAACCTAACGAGCGTTAACTTAACATCAGGATGCATGACAAGTCGACTAGCAAAGGCCAAGGCCTCGCGATCATCAACCCCACCGAAGAACAAAACCGCAATCATCTGGCATGGCTGCTGTTGTGCATCAAAGCTGCCCATTGCTTGTAATGTCGGTCCAAACGCACCAAACCCCTTATCAATGAGGATGCCAACGGTGCAAGGAGCGTGACGAAGTACCTTCTGATTGATGGTTCTGATCCCCTCCTTCGCACACTCCATCTTCCCATCGATGCGCATGTACTTGTGGAAGGGGATCAATATGATGGATATTGTGAGATCCTCCGCACCATTGCAAACATCCTCATAAACCGTGGATAGGGTCGATGCGGCCGTGATCTGGTTCATGTGTACACCCGTCTCGCTTGTGAACATATCGACCATTTGGTTGATCTCCATTCCATCATTCCCACCAAAGCATTCATCATCACTCAAGTCATCTTCCTTTTGGTGATACAACAGATTGGATCGTTCCTTCCCGGTAATCTCCACAAGGTGCATCAAGTAAGGTGTAACCGGGGCCTTACATGACCCACTCAACCACGCAGTGATCCCTAGTAGCGTGGGTACGTGGCGTGGCCCATGCACACATGCTAGCATGCGGAGCTCACTGTCTGGGTTTTGTCGCTCAAGTCCCATGTGCCTATAAGCCATCACTTTTCTTTCTTTTCCCACCACGTAACTCACAAATGGACCCACCACCACCGTGTTCAACACCACCGTTACTAGGAACAAATTATGGACGTTCCGAGGCCATCCCTACCGGTACCAAACCAAACCCGAAAAAACAAAAAATTAATATTATTGATTGATTTCATAAAGGAAGGACGAAGGAAGAAAATTAAAAGAAAAAGGAAATTAATAAACTTACATGGGTCGCTGTGGCTAAGCTTATGATGAGAAGATCGACATGGCCTTTGACGTTGAGCAAGAAGGCGAGGATAAGGCCTTGGTTGGGTGGAATGCTTACGTAGTGGCAAGCTGCAATTGTGCCCATGATCTTGCCGCTGATGCTCAAGCAGACAACAAAGACGATGAGGAGGATGTTATGAAAGGTCATGGAATGGCTTATATCGGCCTGAAACCCTGTGTAGCCGAAGTAGAATGGGAGGATGAAGTTGTGGACTGGGTAACTCAATTTCTCTAACAAAGTCCTGGTGGTTTTCCCGTCTCTAGGGAAGAAGACACCCAGAATGAAACAAGTGATGGTGCTGTTATATCCAATCAACTCTGTAAAGATAGAAACGATGGTGGTAAAAAATAGAATGCATGCCACTTGTAAGTTGCTAATGTACTTTCGGCTATGATTCCTCCGATTTAGCCACCTGGCTAGTATCCGGTTTGTAAGAATTGCCAAAAAAAGCACAATCAAGCACAAGATAGCGGCTGCTAGCTTTTGTTGGATTCCCCTTGAGTGTGTTTCTTCGCCACCACCTCTAGAATGATGAGGATTGTGGGCACGTGGAACGGGTTTGGATTGGATAGACATAGTACTTATGACCGCCACTCCTATCAAGCAGGTAATGTCGTTTACTATGGATGAAGATATGGCCAGGCGCCCTAGCTCCGAAGTTGCAAGCTTCAAATCAGCTGCCACCCTAACAACTATGGGGGAAGCAGTGTTGGATAACAACATCATCATGATCAACGAGAATTTGAAAATGCTTCCGTGGGCATGAGTCTGTTGGTATATAAACGGTGCGAAGCACGCTGCTAGAATGCAGCATCCCACGTTGCTGCCGTATGCAACTATTGTCGCCAACCGGAAGGAGCGTAGTAGGTAGGGAACGTCCATCTCCAGCCCAATCAGGAACATAAAAAGTATACGACTGAAGGTTGACATGGTTTGGTAGTATTGAACCGCCTCTTCTTGAAACACATGCTCCCTTATAAAATCGATCCGAGACAGGCCTGAGGGACCTAGGAGGAACCCTGCCTGTTGCATGTGACCGGTGACCCCACTCATTATTATAAAATATTTACAAACTTTAGTAAAGGGTCTCAGTCTCAGACCACTTCTAGTCTAGGACCCCATTAAAAAAAGATATACATTTACATATAGAATTAATGGGCACTGAACTGAATAGAAGAAGGGAGTGACAAAACATGGCCGACCCCATATAATTAGGATAAGGCTTTGATGAACTCCATTCCATCAGGTTAAATATGGAGCCTAGACCAGCCCAATCCATTGAAAACATAAATATCAACATCGGCCCATAAGAGAAACCCTACAAATTACATCCAAGGTAGGGGTGTAACTTGGGAGGGCCCAACCTGAGCCTGGACCGACGGGTTGGGCTTAAATTTTTAGTCCTCTGGTTAGGCATGGCCCAAGATTTCGAGCTTTTAAAATTTTTGAGTTGGGCTCCAGCCTAGCCCTTAGGAAGCCCAAATCTGGCCCGAGCCTAGACTGACCTTATCCCAGCCCAAGCTGGCTCAATTTTATACATGTACATGTGCATATGTAAACACATATTTGCTTGCATATATGCATATATGCATATTTTTAATAAGCTATACATATATGCATACATACACACACACGCATGCACACACACAAGTATATTAATTTTTAGTGTAGACTAATTAACCAACCCGAGCCTGGCCCAGGCCCGAACTAAACCCAAGTGTATCAAATTTTAGTACAAGCTGGGCTTAGGCTAAATAGTTTAAGCTTGACCTCAGGCTTGGGCTTTAGGGCCTTGGTTGAGCTAAATCCCAGCCCAACCCGCCTGACTTGCACCCCCACTCTAATGTGAAAGATAAGATAGAAAAGGAAAGATCCTTTTAATTATAACCCTTAATTTTACAAATATGATTAAAATAACAGCTATTTCAAAAGTTGTTGTCTAAAACCCAGTAGAGAAAATTTTAAATTGTTTGTTTGTTTTTTTCCTCACATCGACCCTAAGGCTCTGTTAGGTTTGTGGGGTGGGAAGGGAAAATATGGAATATTCTAGAATATTTGTGGGATGTCAAGAAATGGGATGGCGAAAAGGTGGGATTATGGATCCCAATTCTTGGGATGTGGAATCCCACCATTTTGGTGGGAAACAAGTGGAAATGTAGGAGGAAACTTGTTTAATAGAAAAAGCACCTTGTAGTATTTCTAAGAGTTAATACTAGATCCATGACCTAAAAATAAATTATTAATTCTTTAATAACATATTAATAAAAAAGTAATCAATAAATAATTTAATAATTAAATGTTTTTATTAAAATTATTAATTGTCATAAGTATTAATAAAATAAAAAACTTATTAATAAAATACAAGTAATAGCAATTAAAATATCAATTAATATTAATAATTGATTAACTAATTAATATCGAATTAATGATTACAAAAAAATACAAAATCATAAAATCGTTATTAATTAATTAAGAATTAACAATACAATATATAATAATGAATTAATTTACTAAGTAATTAATAACTAAATAATTATTTTATAATTAATAATTGAATTAAAACAAATTAAAATGAATAATTTATCAATGAAAAATAATTTCATAATTTATGAATAATTAATATTAAAATATTAAAATTATTAATTAATCATGTGTATCAATAAAATATAATATTAATAATAAATTATAATCTAATAAAATGCAAAATATTAATTAATTAAAGGGTTGTGGATTTTAAATAATTAGTATCTAATTAATAATGAAATACTAAATAATAAAAGTATTATTGAGTAATTAATAATTAACACAAATAGTTTATAATTAATTAACTAAGTAATGAATGAATAAAAATTAAGGATTTTATTATTGGTCTAATTAATGATTCAATAAAAATAATTAATAATTAGTTATAGTAAACTATAAAATAATAAAAATATAGCTACTTAATTAATTAATAATTGTTACTAGGTTGATTTTCCCACTATTTTCCCTTTTACAGCCAAACAATGGAACATGAAAATTTTTCACCCAATTTTCCTTTTCCCATCCTATTTCATCCCATTTTTCTCTTCCAACCAAAATCTTCCCACAAACCAATAACAGCCTTAGGTTTGATGAATGGAAAATTTTAAATTGGTTTGATAGAAAATAAGAGAGAAATAGAAAGTTTCTCCAAGTGAAGTTATACATGTATTAGAAAATTTTAAACCACAGCCTCCTTTCACCCTCCAAAAATTGACAGAAGCTCTAGGCTCGCCCAAGTTGTTAAAACCATCTGAATCACTTCCATGGATGTATGTTTTTTTATGTAAAATGCATTATTTATCCATATATAAATATATAATATAAATTTGTATGAATGCAGGCAAAACATATATACTTACAAGTATTTGGGAGATTGTCACAGGTTGACCAAGGGGTTTGAGTAGGAAATGGAGGAAGTGGGAAACCACAAGAATACAGGCGAGCTCGACCATCAAGGATGCAACTGCAGAGCCACCGTTGTCATGGGCGCAGTGTGAAGTTACCCCGCTATCCATCTTTTCGAGAAAAAGAAAGATATGACCACGATGACCCCGACACTCTGCAGTACACACGGTGGCCGCCGTTAGAAGGGAAAGAGAGAGAGCGGTGGAGGAGAGGAATCCCTTCCGCCCTCACCTCTCTCCTTTCCCAGGTCTTGAGTTCTCTAGTGGTTTCTTTATATCTATTCCCCTGTTTCCTTTCTCTTTGCTTTCGTGTGGAAGGGAACCCTTGCTTTCCCGCAAAACTAGTTCTTTGATTCCCGCAAAATTTTACAACCCTTGCTTTCCCCATGGAGGACTGTATTCTTAGGCTACATTTGGCATTAATTCCTTATTTTAAGGATTTCATTAGGAATGACCCCTTACTAAGTATGGAATCATTAATCTGAATAATTTCAAATTTTTAAATTATTTATATTAGATATTTAAGTTAGGCATTTTATTTGATTTAAGAGAATTACCATATTTTATCTATAGAATGATTCCATACCAAGTAAAGGGAAATTACAGTATCATTTAATTTGAAATTTATTATTTAACTACAAAAATATTAAATTAGAAAAATTAACATGGGTCTTACATCTTTGTAATTGGCAATATCTATTCTGACCTACTTTATTTGATAATCACTATTAATTTATGTTGTTTTTTATATGATTTAAGAGATTAAATGAGGTCTTATTTCTAAGCAATAGACCACTGTAATTGGTATTTACTATTTATTTGATAAATTTATTTTTAAAAGCTAAATTAGGTTACGCTTCAAAAAAAAAAGTTAAATCTAGTTTGCAATTAATAAACTATTTCATCTAAAAGAATAAAACTCACACCATTTGTATTAAATGTCTAGTCATTTTTATGAATTTCATTTTTTTTATTTTTATCCATTTAATATTTTGAATATTTTTAAGTTAAACTAATTGTTTAATCGTTAGTTTTGAAATGGTTGCGTTTGAATAAAATTCAGTTACTACCATAACATTTGAAGTGACTACATTTTAGGGATTAGGATGCTACATGTGTGACTTTTAAGAGAGTGGAGTTGTCACTTTTTTTGTGAGTGGATAAACTTTTTTAAGATTGAGAGTTTAACCTCTTCTAAGATTCTATCTATTGAAATTTTACAATGTCACGTTCCAATGGTTGATTGTATCTTCCAAATAATGAAGTAGTTGTTCCTGAATGATTTATATACGGATTATATTATGAGCCCTTTTGTTGCTTTTCTTTGTGTCTCCGCCTTTGAATTCTTAGAATGAATGCAAATATGGAAGCCCCACATTACTAAAT